CATTCTGCTGATAAAAAGTCATAGAAAGAACACAGGCACATAAAACAATTCAGTGCAAGTAGTAGCCAACACACAGCAGAAGCTACATATAAGACGAGAAAAGAGATAGGAAAGAGCAGAGAGAGAAGAGAATGTGTTAAAGGATGGAAGCTGGAGTGACAGGGATGAATGAATGCACAGATATAAAGGAAGGAGAGGTAATTTTATACCAGTTGTTTCTTGCTGGTTCACAGAAATCATTAAACTGCCTGCTAATTACAAAGTGACTACCCCCAGTTTCCAGATAGGAGAAAGGAGCTCAAGTATTTTATGGAAACAAATCCTCAAAATCCTTCACTTTTTAAAGTGCCAAGCTTGTCTGTTTCTCTTATGATGGATACTTACAAAACCTGAGGTTGCCACATTCTATTACCTAAATGTACAAACACCTAGCTTTGGAAATAAATGCAGACAAAGAATAGGAAATTTGATATGGGCAGGAAAGGTAAGAAATGTGTTGGATCCTCAGCAATTGAAAACAAATCCATGTGAAGTGGTAGGGCCAAAAGTACAACCCAGTAAGCAAACATCATACCGGTGTTAATAAAAAGTGAAGAGTAAGAGACACAGCTAGCAATAAAAGTTTTATAAAGAAAATTGGATTTTTGATGAAAAGACCACTTTCACATAAGTTTATCTTCCTCAGAAATTGTGATGTCCTGCTGCCTGCTATGTCTCTGGAAAGCACAACCCCTTCTTTGAGAAATTTCCCTTTGAATCCCTGTATATGGAAAAGGCAAAGGCCTACGATAGAACCTACCACTCAGTCCTTGTTACTAAACACTTAAAATTCCCTTCTCTCAATTTTTAGTACTCTTAAGATCTGCCTTAATATGAATCCAGGCTTAGGGCAAATTCCACATCCTCATCTTGATGTTTCTGGTCAAGAAATCTGAGACTGCCTGTCCCTGAGACGACTACCTCAAACCAAATCTGATAACATGAAAGAGGGTGAGAATATCAAGAGAATAACGGAGCTCAGATCCACAGAACTCCAGAGTTTTTACTAGATGGGACAACTTGTATCACAAGCATGCTGCTTGTGAAAGCCCAAATTTATCTCAAGCAATGATAGGCTGCTGCAAACAAATAAAGACAGAGAGGAAGCATGAGATGACAAGATAAAGGACTTAATAAACACATTAACATCAGGGTGAAATTTTTCAAAGTGAATCCTTACTTTTAATAATAAAGCCTATCCCTAAATGCATTCTTCATCACAGCACAACAATATGCACTTTTTGTCTGTGTGTGTGCATGGGTGTTGAAGATTAGAGACTGGGACCGGGCAGGAGGTTCAAATAGATGCACGGCACTTGCAAGCAAATCAAAATTGTCTCCAAAGAGGCACTTCCTGCTGGTGACTAAGCCTTCACCCAAACAGTCAAGAGGAAGGGGCATAAGTAAAGCACTGCAAACGGTCATCCCGATTGTATCGGAGTGGAGACAACTAGGACAAACAAACTCAGGAAGTGGCAGGGAGTTAGAAACTGAGAGGAAATCTATGGCACAGAGAGGAAAGTGAAGAGATTGCACCGATCTGCAGAAAGGTCACCTCTGGGTCGCGCTGTGCCAAGCTTTTTCAAACCCACTTTATTTGGACTATAATACAAAACTGGCACACACAGCTGACGACTGCTGCAGAGGCTATTCAAATGTTAACATTCTCAATGATAAACAGCCAAAAAAAAGTTCTGTGTAAGCAAATTGGAACAAACAACTAATCTAAATCTGGTCGCTAAGAGACGGAGGATTTCGGCCAAAACCAGCCCGAAAGCCTCAAGAATACTTTATTTTTGATCAAAAAAAGTACCTGTAGATGACTCCATGTTGGTGAAGAAACATGAGTGCTGATGTGACCTCTGCAGCATAAAAGCGGGATCGAGGTTCGTCAAATTTGCGTGAGCGCTGGATTTGAAACATTAGGTCTCCTCCATTTACATATTCCATGACGAAAAAGAGGCGGTCCTGAAATTAATTAAACAGTGCTATTTAGCTAATTCCTCTTAGTCACACAAAGGGCTGCTTGAAGCTACACTTTAGGTGACTAGAACATTCACGTCAAGTAATAAAAAAAACAAATGCTAGAATTCCAAAAAAGGAAATGGCGACAACCAAAATCCCCCAAAACCTAAAGAAAAGGAGACAGGAGTCTCTAAGAGAGAAGTGAGAAAATGGCAATCAAAACGTAGCAATAAGCAACCCCCACACAAGTCTCCACACATCAACAAATACATAAGGAATTATAATCAATTTTGTATAATAGAAGAGATACACAAACGATGTTGTTTCTTTTATAATTTAGCCATAACCATGAAAAGTTAAAATAAATTCTGTTGAGTGCTGACAGTCTTCTTATTTCTTCACTTCTCTCTTACCAGCTACTATGTCTGCAAAGCATCTTTCCCAAATTAGGTAAAAATTGTTTAGAATTGTTAAGCTATAGAAACCAGTGCTGTCAATCTCAAACACTTACATATGGTTTTTTGAATTGCCTCAAACTCTCATAAAACAATGAAATAGAATTACATTATTTAAGTACAAATCAGGTTGTTTTTATTTTCTTTTGAGGCTTATTACTTCCAAGTTCAGCTTTCCAACTTATTTCCATGAAAGAGGTCTAGAAATGAACTTCACTTGAGAACAGTAATCATACCATTAATCCAAAAGTTAAGCACTCAGTGAAACAGTCAGAACTGAGAATACCAGTAAACTAAATGTGTGCTTGAACCATTTATTATCTAAACTGGCAATGCAGGTGAAGACATAAGCGAAGAGATGACACACACTCACTTGACATAGTTTAGATTCTGCTTTTTTTTTTTAGTTTTCTTATAAATTTTTGTATTTTTCCCTAACCAGTACTAATTGCCCATTCACCCATCGTTTGAAGCCTACTTCACATTTTTTATTCCCTTACTGTTAATTATCTACATCCATATGCACATGAGTTTAGCTAGAGGTGGTGGCAATTCCCATTTGATATGACACAAACATTTTGTTCTCTGGTCACAAAAGTCACAGGTGTGTAAGTATGGGACTTCACCTCTGCAACTTTGATGTCACAGTACAGTTTGACTCTAGTTCATGGTGTCTGGTGTGCAGACTGAAGAAAAGGAGACAAGACATGAAATTGTTTTGGGCAAGGAAAAACAACAGAAGATCGAAGTTAATTAACCTCTCACAAGTGAATCTAAGCCTGTAGATTACATAGTTTATATATATAAATCCAGAAATTCACAAGTGTTTCTAATTTTTCTTTTAATCATCTACCCTACGATTCAGATTCAGAGCATAGCTCTTAAAAATATCCTTAAACTGAAGCATGTGCATTAATCCTGCTCATTAAGTCCTTAAATGTTATACTTATCAGGGGTGTTTCCTGGAGGAGGCTAGAAATGTTTGTCTGACTTTTTGCTGATTACAGAAAGAGGATGCAGAAAAAAACTTTGCGCCTTTCCCCCTGTATATTGGGAACACGGAAACTGCCAGACTGGATCCAATTCAGAATGCCAGGTAGAGTGGCATTCTTGGTAAAACATTGCTTATGACTTGAGTACATTTTCCGACATTTTTCTTACCATTCTCTAGGAGGGAAAACCTACGGAAGAATACCTTCATCAAAGCTTCTGGCTGTATCATGCTCATGATATCATGTATCATGGCTTCAGAGCTATGCCTTGTTCTTTTGCAGTGCTCAGTTGTGCTGATATGAAATATTCAAGATCATAGTGCAGATATTCTGCCATTAGTGCAGGTTTTAAGTATCATCCTCTCTTTGCTTCTTTTAAGCAAAAATATGGGTCCTTGTGCTGTCTGATTCTCTCTGGAACTGACAAGAATTACAGCCTTGCTTTTAAAAGAAAATCTGATAGTTGTTCGATGGTCTTAGGATTTCAGAAGCTAGAGCTAAAGGATAACACCGATGCAGTCAGTTTTGTGATGAAGTCAGTCAAAAGCACAGCTATACTGGTACTGGAATGTAACGTAAGATGACAGGACATCCCTAAGAAGAAGATGTAGGCATTGTCCTTTGCTGGGCTCCTCATCACCATACTACAGACTATCTCCGAAGAGCAGTCTTGGTACAAGTGTCCCTTTGAAACCAATTGCCTAAGATTATCTCACATGGATACAATTTAGTGTTTCAAGTAGGAAACCCATTTGGACTGCAAGCTGATGAGAGCACGACTAACACTTGGCTAAGGTAACTTCTCCTAACATTTGCTGAAATTTAACTTTCTTACACTGCTACTTTGCCAACAGTCTGGACGTGAGTGGGCATAACCAGGAAGAGGAAGCTGCAATTCCCATTCTCCTTAGTGGTCATGCTCATTCCCAACACTGGTATCATTTTGTTGCACTTGCATCACAAGTATAAAGCAAACAATGCTGATGCAAAGTGATGGTGCTTACAATTGTGAATCCCAAATGGTGATCTTCAACTTGCTACTGAGCTGGGAACTGCTGCTCCCAAGAGTGATAACACCAGTAAAAGGCTGGTTTACACGATTGTATAAATGAGGGCCATTTCCTAACATATCAGGATATACACTGTATCATTTTCAAGAACATTGTGTTTGATTCAAAGAGAGCTAATGCTTTTTGTGAAACTCACTAAAAGCCTAATTGCTGAATTTAAACATCAGAAATTGTGTTTAGTTAAAAATTCAAGTTCTTTTGTTTTATTTGAGACCTTTGCAGGACATCTCCAGTTCAGCTAACTGAAAATTTAACCTGGACTCTTTAGCACAGTATTTTCTCACTAGATAGTCTGAACAAAAGTTTTAGCAGTAGCTCTGTTTCCAGAGCTAGAGACTGGAATCCTCTTTCATACCTTCCTTGTGCACATCCCATTCTCCATTTGAAAGGGTATTTCTGACAGATTCTGCAACTTACTTGACCACATCATCAAAAGCACAGCTACTAAACCCAGAATTAACAGCTCAGAGATTGAAATTGCTCTGCTATTGCATTTATCTGCTACAGACTGACATTTTGAGTCTTTTCAAGCTTTCTTGGGTACACATTTCAGTTTTCAAATGAGAACTCACAGGAAAAAATAGTTGAAAGTTCTGTTCTCTGTTTCCAGTGAGTATGGGAAAAGGGTTTGATTTTGAGAGAAGAAAAATACTAATTCTCACCCACTATCATGGCGTAAACAATAAGATGCACAATATGCACATGCACAGCAGGCCAGAATTTCAACACTAGAAGGTACCATCTTCTTTAGTTAAATACATTTGGTCCCTATGAAAAATATTTTCTTAAAAGCAGCCTCTAGTCTTTTTTTTTTTTTTTTTTTTTGGTCAGGACAATAACATGATCAGCTGGGATTCAAATTCACATGAAAAGAAGACGCAAGAGAAGAGAAAATCTTTTATGAATATGAGCTGAGATTGGCAAATCCATTTTTTTCCTGATTCCCATAATCTCAACAACAACAGGTACACTATTTTGATTTTTGATACTCAAATTTTTTTCCCTATCTTTCATCAAAAGTAATGACCAAAATGTAGGTCCCCAACCCTCTGACTATTTCCTTTCTGTCATAATGTAAGTACACACACTGAGTGACCCAATGAGATCTTTGAGACTTCAATGCAGAGAGGATTACATTCTCAAACAGAAATTGTGAAATAAATTTGTCATTCCTGATTATATGCATCTTGAGATATGTGCCACTAGGATTTATTAAAACATTGAAGTAGGAGAATATAAAGTGAACATTCTTAAGAATTATACATTAAGGGACAACGCAGCGTTTATTCAGTTAAAAATGAGATATAAGGTAGGAATTTATCATCAGTTGTGTTCCAAGAGAAAACTGAATGGTTTTGGTTTGGACTGCATTATTTTTGAACTCTGTTTTCATAACATTTGAGAAGTATGTTTTGATGAACAAAATAAATGTAAAGTGGTCCTGGGAATTCTTTAATTATATAAACTGAAATAAAAGGCAAAATCACAAACAAAGAGATTACAGATTAATCTTCTCTTGGCACCTATAAAGCACAAAAGTACTGCAAAGTAAGTTAATATGTTTTCTGAAGTAATTAGATTCTTCTACAAGGTTTATTTTAGCCCTTAATCATACCTGCTTTTCCTTGAATTTCTCAAAAGGTATGGTTGAATGAGAATACTTAAAATAACAAATGGAAAGAAAAGCAAAGCAGAGAGCATGGGTAAGAGGTTTTAAAAGAAAATGGGATATGAAGTAAACAGGTTACAAGTCAAAACAAAAAAAGTTCAACTTCACTCTGTATTTTCATAGTATTTTCTGATCATAAATGTAACTACTACAGCGGAGTAAATAATGCCTGTCTTAATATCTCTACGATTCCAGTCTTACCTCTCAACTTTCTTAATCGAGAGTCTCCTATATGCTTTATGTCATCGAAACTGGACACGAAAAGCAACCTCCTTTCTAGTCTTTGTCCTTATCACTATCTGGAGAAGCACCCTTGTCATTTATACTAGTAATCTTTTTCCACATCTCTCATTCCTCTCCTTTAATTGTGTCCCAATTTAATTTTTCATCCTCCTTGACATTCAATATAGACACCCTTTAGTTGTGCAGTAAATCCTTCTGACTAATACTTTACACCTTATTCTGATTATTACCATAAATTTTCCCTCTTCAAAGCCATTCTCTGATTTTTAGTTTTATTTATATATATATTTTTGTTAACATCTGGCTATATATTATGTTCACTCCTTGCCTGGTTTTAGATGTTATGAGTTCCACTGGATAGAAGTTCTACCTTTTGTTTCTGTTGTAATAACATACATGTGTTGAACTGGGGAAAGGAGGGGAGATGTTCAGAAACATCAGTAGTAGTAAACTCTAAGGACATAACAGATTCAATCCAGCTCCTTTTTGTGGAGGTGTGATTAATGACCAAAACCTTCCTCCTAGTAAGACCAGACAATCTTGCCAATCAGTTTTGATTTAACAGATGACACTA